CGCCTTATAATAGAATTAAAAATAATTCAAGTAGCACTGCTATATTGGCAGCGATGAAGTGTTAGATCTTCTCTACTTTTATCCATGCTCAGCATCGTTTCTCGCGACTCTATTAAGGATGGGTGCCGTCCGTGAAAGTAATAAAGATATCATTGCTAGAATCAATGGTTCCAAAGTTCTCTTCTTGCAAAATTTTATTAGATTCTTCCGAAGCAGATATGATATAATAAAAATCCCACTAGGTTCCAATGTCAATTGATTAAAAAAATTGTATTACATATGTTGTTGAATATTATATCAGTAACTTAAATTGCAAATTCATTCTTCGTAAAATGATAGAATTAATATGATCTCAGACAGAATTATCACAGACTTTGCGACAAATATCAAACAAACCGTTTATAAATAAATGTCTGCAACTAAAATAGGCATAAAAATGAACAATAATTATAAAAAAATTACACAATAGATAATAAAGAATCCAGTTAGAATGAATAGGTATTATTAATGCCTAATAGCAACACGAAAAAAAAAAATAGATGAAAAAAAGCTATTTTTTTTTCTTTTTCTGAAAAGAAAAAAGTGTAACTGAATTAAAGTTTGATTTTAAAATTCATCGAACGCGAATACCGTAGTTTTCAGCAGAGAGTAAAAACTTTAGTGTTTTACAGTACAGTTGAAAACTTGATATGATAGGGATTGCTACTGAACGCGAGTGAAAAATGCGACGTGTATAGAGAAATATACGCGGTGGTCGCTGACCCTTGGTTCGCGTTCTACGCTCTTGTATAATAAACCGAATTCGATCGTACGACAGCTCGAGCGGCAACCTCTTCCTCTAGCCTCTCCACGAGTATTCTCTCTATTGTCACTAGCGAAGAAAGCATAGAGCCTCCATTGGTTCGCGCTCGAGCCTTCTTTTTCCACTACTCGATGGCCAATAATCGTTTGCAGAGTTTCGTAATACGAGAAACGTACGATCAAATACTGAATGAACGTTTCATTCTGATAACTTCTCCTCTATTGAAACAAATGGAAAATTTATTTGCCAAATTTACGTGTGTGTTATTACAGTTTGAAAATTACGAATAGTCATTCTCTGATAAATATTCACCGAAGTATAATATTTGATAATGAAGCATTCATCACTAAACTAATCTTCAATATGATATGATTAAACACACATTCGATACTTCAGTTATGTAAATAAAAGAACGTAGATTTGATATATACTTTCTTCGTGCATGTTCTATAAGTATGCAGAAGCGAGGTAAGAATTTAAAAAAAAAAAAAAAAGGCGTTTCGTACCTGGTTAAAGGTATAATAAGCACTCCAGAAGTAATTAGATCGCTTAAATAGTTTCTAGTGTTTACCGTCCTTGCGAATCGCGTGTTGTGAACCACAGGGACGGTATTGGAATCGCCGCTTTGATTTGATATCACGAAAGCCGACGGATTCACGAGTGTGATATAATTACGATCGGTGACGGTGCAACATAATTTCGCGATGCACAAGATAGGCGCGACAAAAATAACGTTTGCCCGTGAAACGCGCGTTAATTCATATAGCGAGAGATCGCGTGCTCGGAATGAATGAAAGGGGGTTCGGTAAATATAGTTGATGGAGCTTAGAATTAGAACGACGTTAAAGCCAATGTTTTTACCGGACTCGACTGTTTGATTTGAATGAAGTTCGATTTATCGAATCAATATGAACAATCGAATACTTGAACAGATTAACATTTAAATTCAGCAAGGGTTGTTCTTTTATCAAATCGAGAATCGATCGATATATCGATTAATATGCATTCCATTCGATTAATCAAATCGAATGTTTAACATTCAAATTTGAAATTTGAAAATTGGATACTTGAACACGTTAACGTTTTGAATTCGATGAGAGTTGTTTTATCGAATTGAAAATCGATCGATACATCGATTTATCGAGACCAACCGGATACTTAGTATTTGTGTCGGTTTATCAAATCCGAATGCGTATCCATATATCGAATCAAATTTAAATTAAATTAAATCAAATCGAACATTCAACGTTCAAATTGAAAATTCCGTACGAAATTGAAATTTTACTTTGATTGATCCGATCGCACGTGCGTGCAGGCTAATTATTTATCAGCTTTCCATAGAACACGGTTAATAGATAATGTGAAACAGAAGCTCTGGAAGTCACTTCACGATCTTTTCAAGATACACAATACATTATCTAATCGCGGCCGTCTGGTGCAAAGGTAATTTGATTTTTCTACTCATCTGTCGCTGACATTGCACTAGCGCAACTTTATCGTTGATTACACTCGACGTATGGGCAGCAATTGTCGATTATGATAATGGCCTATAATTTAGACGGAAGGTGAAAGGGAGCATTAAAAAGGAACGAACAATCAAATTGTACCGCAATTACTTTGCTCATGAAACATCGTGAAAATTCCATTGACAGATTGTGCAGATACATTTAAATACGTAAATACACACAGTCACCGTAAGGTGTAATTTTTTTCTTCCGTCATTAATTTCACGACTCGAAAGCTCCCCCTTGTTAATGGTACAAAATTCAAACGAAATTTCTTTTTAATAGGTTCGCGCGCGCGCACCAGCTTTTCCTTCGTTAGCCGGCATTAATTGGCACGAGATAGCTCGTGCCAACGTAACTCGATGTACCTGTATACTTTGAGGAAAACTCGAGCGACAAAGTCGATTATTACGTACGTTAATTATCGACGATAAAATGGAAAGCAATCGATCGCGTTTATTACGCATTTACGCCGTACTAATTGCAGTAACGTCGTAATTATTTACGTACGCCTTATGCCCCCCCGATTTTGTCCGTCTAAGCGAAATTAGGTTATTTCTGTGTGTATAGTATACCTATTTACGTTATTTCGTCTTTCAATAGAGATTCGAGAAAATACCAGAGAATGAAGAAAAAAATTCAATTTCACTATCTTTCACTTTAGATTTTAAATTTCTCACTTTAGAAACCATTTTATTCGTTGTGAAAATGAAAATGGCGACCCAGTTTGTGATTCCAGTTGATTAAATTTTATACTGAAAATTTTCCAATAACTCTCCCTTTCAGTTTTAATTTTCAAGACTGATTCGTACAAAAATGGAACTTTTTGATTTGATGGAAAATTGACATTTTTCGTATTATCGTTTTCGAATATATTCATATTTTGTTTCTTAATTTTTATATCGTTTATATAAGACCGCATTTAATGAACACAGTACCGTGAAACGGTTAGGAAAACTTTATCGAACGTAAACGCGATCGGATTAAGCGAAAATTGATTCATTAGGACTATCTACACCTTCACTTTGGTAATGGGGAAGCGGGAACAGCAATGTCTCGTTTTATCATGCATCGTTACTTATCAGCGTCATTCTCGTAATATCGAAACCACAAGTTAATTACAACTTTGTTGTTCCACGATCGATAAACCGTGTTGCGTTAGATCAATTAATTGATCTCGCTTTTGTTTCCACACGTGGTGTAAATTAGTCGCATAGTAATACATTTTTAAACACATTGTCGTGTTGTTTTCTTAAACAGCTGACAATTATAGTCTGCTGTCAAAGCATAATTGTTCAGAAAAGAGAAAAATATTATTTTCAATTCTGTTATCTAACCTAACCAACACTACCATGGAAGAAATTCAAGAGAAACATTAATTAAAAGATGAATCTAATTTATAATTTTTGTGATAATGAAAAAATATGGTGAATTATTCTCATATGATGATTAGCAATCTAGAATTGTGAAGAAAATTTGCAATTCCATTGTTAGAAGGTAATAAAATAATTTCTCATTGATGAATACATTGCGTAATAATGAATTAAGGAGAATTTAAATTTAGTCACGATTACAAATGGTCAAATGAATCAGCACAGTAGAATTCTTCGTTTCAATAGAATTCTACGTTCTACCTGCGAGCAGACGTTCGCAAACAATGCGGTTTTGTGTTAGACAGAATTTCAATGTTTTCAACACGTTGAAGGCCACGTGGGTGATCGGTGATCCAACTGTGATATTTACTTAAAATAGGACGGTAATTTCCATGATGGAATGAAGTCGAAACAACATGAGAATCGAATCATTTCACTATTTAATTTAGTCTTAACCCTTTGAAATTAAAGTAAAAGTAAGTTGACGTAATTAACAATTTAACTGAGTATCCAAATTTAACTTAATTTCACTTTTATTCATGAAATAATAATAAAACTACGGTTAGCCACAATGTTCATTCGTAAAATCATTTGAAATTCCCGCTCCATTCTTACACAACGCAAATTCCCTAAAGATCGATAATCGAAAGTGAGATTAGTCGAACGATAAAGTGTTACTTCAATCGGCTTGAATGGAGGCACGAGCGAGATGCATCCGTTATTTTCCGTCGAATTTATTGTGTCATCGAAGTTGGTTGACTTGTTCACTGGACGACATTAATCGATACGCGAACGCGACACGTGCTTTATACGCGTTTCAGCATTAGGCTTGAAACGCATGGTCCAGTTCTGTCGCGCACGTTTCGAACTGCATGCAATATACAAACAGTGCTCGCATTCTATAGTTTTCTATGGGTCCGCGCGCGCTTTTTGTTTCTCAGACCGCCAGTTAAATCGCGCCCTTTTGTTCGCCGTTCGAAAGTTACCGCCGTTTCAACTTCAAATTCATCATGGCCGCCGATGAAACGCGTTGAAACTTGTTATACGTGTTTTTTTCATTTCTTTTTTAATGTTACTTATTACGTCAACTGCAGAGACGATGGTTCGTTAGTTTTCTATAAAAAAAAACTAAGCGAAGAGTATTTTGAGTAGTACGTTGAATTGAAAAAGTTTTGAAAGAAATGTATAGGGTGTCTCAAAATATGTGATACATATGGAATGAAATAAACTGCAGCCTTAAATGTCAATAAAAAATAAATTAATATTTGACTAAATTATAAAAAGTATAAAAGCAATAAGGAAGTGCTATTTTTGTTTCAGTGTTTTTAATATTCCATCCAGAGGTTCCGAAGAGCTGTCCCATCTCCACAACGCCGTACAAAAATGGGTCGGAAGAAGATTCAAATTTCGCGCATCACGGACGAACGGAATCGTCAGGTACTACGAATTTCCATAAAAAAAAAGGAACTAAACTGAGTCAGAAAACATTATCATGAAGAAATATTTCCTTCATCGTCTGATAATTTCTTCTTAAAGATTTACACCACAATTGTACAGGGTGGCTCATAAGTAGCTTTACCATTTGAAAATTGAGTAACTTTTTTTTCTATTATGTCTTAAAATTTTTATTTCAGATTTTGGAAAAATTTTGTTCAATTTTTGAGCTACTTTGTCTATTATAAAATACCAAAACGAATAAACATTTTTTAATTCTTTTTAGTACGAGAATTATTAAGAAAATAGTGTCTTACATCAGAATTTGTTTTTTCAGTGCAATATGTTTGTATTCGAAACAACTCCTATCAAAACCAATACTGATGGAACTGATAGTAAATCAGCGATACCGATCACCAAAGCATTGTTTTCTTTTCTAAGCAGTGCTATCTGTATTAAGTCTACAAGCACTTGAAATCACTTAACAGAAAAAATTCACCGTTGCGTAACATACACTCAACATGCTATTACATACTAGCAAGATACTCAAAACAGAAACTCATTCAGAACAAAACCATTAGTCATTACTGTACATCGTTGTACCCTTAAACTACTTCACCACATTATCAATAAAAATTTACTCTCTGTTTCTATTCTGTTATCATACTGTTATTAATATTTTTTTTCTTTTACATTGATAAAACTAGCGTTACTAATGTATCAGATATTAAAAATAAACATTGAAAATATGTGAACACTTAAAAAAAATATATATGTACACTTTATATGCTGATTATATATACATTGAGAATAAGTATTAATCCGTTAACCATGGTAAAAAATTAATTCTGGAATATTAACATTAATGTCTAAAAATAATATTTGTATCTTTCTACTTAGGGGAGACACGGGCACAATTGGAAACAACGAATAATTGTCTTTTCAAGACTAATTGCAGATAATAAAACTACTGAGTTTAAAAATTATTAGTATTATTTTCCAAAAAATGAAAAAAATGGTTAAAGTAAAACCCCAGTCTTCTCTACTATTTCATTATAGTATTAATACAATTACATTTCGAAATAATAAATGAACTATAAAGGACCAGAATTGCCACTGGTATCAAAGATAAGCATTGTATCAGTCTCATCAGTATGCCACTGATTAAAGAACAATTCAAGATGGTCGAGATAAACAGTCAGAGATGATTGATTTCTGATGATCCTCCAACAGGTGACCTTCAACAAAAGGAAGTTCGGGGTGATGAAGAAGGCGTATGAGCTGTCGGTGCTGTGCGACTGCGAGATCGCCCTGATTATCTTCAGTTCGAGTAACAAGCTGTATCAGTATGCGAGCACCGACATGGACAAGGTTCTTCTCAAGTACACCGAGTACAACGAACCCCACGAGTCTCTCACCAACAAGAATATCATCGAGGTGAGCCGATTTCTCCTCGGTAATTTTCAAGCTTCCCAACCACGTTTCCGAATCTACACCATAATGGTGAAAAAGGAGGTGGTGAATTGGTAGAAAAGAAGGGTAGCTGTTGTTGACAGAGTTTTTCCATGATATACAGTTTCTAGAATGATACTATGTTATTGAAATTAATATTTGGTAAAAAAGAAAAGATAATTGGAGAATTCATGTCTGAGTTCTACTTTTTAACGCCTTTTGGAAAATTGGCAATTTTATATTTGTTTATATGTAGTTAATGATGAATGCAGCGTTTAAGCAGCTTAGAATATCAGTTTCAGTTAGATTTTGTATTTATTAGAGCATTGTACAAGTGTTCCTTTTATACATTTTTCTATGGTAATTATAGTATCCAATTTTGAGTTTAATATTCTTGGAAAAATTGAAGAAGACATCTCTGGTACCATTTTGGTGAGCATGCTCTGGTAACCACTGCCTTCAGTACTCCAGAATATTCTACTATTCGCTAAAAAATTGGAGAATCCATTTACCCACGATGATTACAACGATCAAAAAGCATTGAAAATAATCATACTTTTAGAGAACCGTTATAACCCAGTTTGTTTTTGTTTTTCTTTTGCAAAAAACACATGCGAAACGTCCCAGAAAGTTTTCCACAACGTCGTCCTCGAGTATGATCCTCTATTTTAGATAATGAAGACGTTTCTTCAAGAGCAACAGGAACGTGTTTCAAATCCAAACGAGCATCGCCTCCAAAAAACTTGTCCTATGTTCATTTAAATAATATGTCAGAGTACATCCAAGCGTGTCTTTGCATTTTCAAGGCCGATTAGGCTATGGTACAGAGAGTTGGTATACTGTGTATAAAGTCGTTTAGCGAATCCTGTTGAGTCTACTGGAGGACATTTTTCAAGAAGAAGAACATAAACCACTTCTGACGAATAAAAAATGATTATTTACATGCGGCACAATTATGCGAGGGTAATAATAATTATCTTCGAGCTACTGTGCCTCACTGTAAACATTATTTGTTTTCTTATCTTCTCTTGTAATAGCCAAAACGTTTTATCAACGCAACTATCTCGCTTTAAAGTCAGTTATTTATCAGCGGTGTGTGATTTATTTCATTAAGTATGTTAATACGCGGGTTATATTCTAGAAATAAAATGCACATTTCACGTACGTGAAAAGAAACAGGGATTTTTATTATTGGTATGAATTGAATATAGAGTGGGCTCAAAAATGGATTCTTCAATTTCTTTTGACTTGTTCGTGGAATATTCCATTGTCAATGCTTTGGAGACCATTTTATCATTTTTTTTTTGGAGTAATATGCCACTACTGTGTGTATCATATTTTCAAGGGAAAAGCTTTATAGTTTGCAAAAGGAAATTTTTCAAACGAAAAATTTCAGGCATTTAATTTTCAAAGGAAAACTTCTGATTCTTGAAAGTCTCTTCAATTTGCAGAAAAGAAACTGTAAAAATAAAAAAAGAGTACCTA